AAATGCATTGCTAATGATTTTACTATAGGAATGCATTGAAAATCAGGAAGAAAGGGATTGTCAGTGGTCAGGAATTAATGCAAGCATTACTGATAGAATAGGGTTATTATATGTATAATGTAAATGCATTAACTAATGATTTTACTATAAGAATGCATTGAAATCAGGAAGAAAGGGTTGTCAGTGGTCAGGAATTAATGCAAGCATTACTGATAGAATAGGGTTATTATATGTATAATGTAAATTCATTACTAATGATTTTACTATAGGAATGCATTGGAAATCTGGAAGAAAGGGATTGTCAGTGGTCAGGAATGAATGCAAGCATTACTGATAGAATAGGGCTATTATATGTATAATGTAAATGCATTACTAATGATTTTACTATAAGAATGCATTGAAAATCAGGAAGAAAGGGATTGTCAGTGGTCAGGAATGAATGCAAGCATTACTGATAGAATAGGGTTATTATATGTATAAATGTAAATGCATTACTAATGATTTTTTACTATAGGAATGCATTGAAAATCAGGAAGAAAGGGATTGTCAGTGGTCAGGAATGAATGCAAGCATTACTGATAGAATAGGGTTATTATATGTATAATGTAAATGCATTGCTAATGATTTTACTATAAGAATGCATTGAAAATCAGGAAGAAAGGGATTGTCAGTGGTCAGAATGAATGCAAGCATTACTGATAGAATAGGGTTATTATATGTATAATGTAAATTCATTACTAATGATTTTACTATAAGAATGCATTGAAAATCAGGGAAGAAAGGGATTGTCAGTGGTCAGAAATGAATGCAAGCATTACTGATAGAATGGGGCTATTATATGTATAATGTAAATTCATTGCCAATGATTTTACTATAAGAATGCATTGAAAATCAGGAAGAAAGGGATTGTCAGTGGTCAGAAATAATGCAAAGCATTACTGATAGAATAGGGTTATTATATGTATAATGTAAATGCATTGCTAATGATTTTACTATAGGAATGCATTGAAAATCAGGAAGAAAGGGATTGTCAGTGGTCAGGAATGAATGCAAGCATTACTGATAGAATAGGGTTATTATATGTATAATCGGAAATGCATTACTAATGATTTACTATAAGAATGCATTGAAAATCAAGAAGAAAGGGATTGTCAGTGGTCAGAATTAATGCCAGCATTACTGATAGAATAGGGTTATTATATGTATAATGTAAATGCATTACTAATGATTTTACTATAGGAATGCATTGAAAATCAGGAAGAAAGGGATTGTCAGTGGTCAGGAATGAATGCAAGCATTACTGATAGAATAGGGCTATTATATGTATAATGTAAATTCATTGCTAATGATTTTATTATAAGAATGCATTGAAAATCAGGAAGAAAGGGATTGTCAGTGGTCAGGAATGGAATGCAAGCATTACTGATAGAATAGGGCTATTATATGTATAATGTAAATGCATTACTAATGATTTTACTATAGGAATGCATTGAAAATCAGGAAGAAAGGGATTGTCAGTGGTCAGGAATTAATGCAAGCATTACTGATAGAATAGGGTTATTATATGTATAATGTAAATTCATACTAATGATTTTTACTATAGGAATGCATTGAAAATGAGGAAGAAAGGGATTGTCAGTGGTCAGGAATGAATGCAAGCATTACTGATAGAATAGGGGCTAATATATGTATAATGTAAATGCATTGTTAATGATTTTACTATAAGAATGCATTGAAAATCAGGAAGAAAGGGATTGTCAGTGGTCAGGAAATTAATGCAAGCAGTACTGATAGAATAGGGCTATTATATGTATAATGTAAATGCATTATAATGATTTTACTATAAGAATGCATTGAAAATCAGGAAGAAAGGGATTGTCGGTGGTCAGGAATGCAAGCAGTACTGATAGAATAGGGATTATTATATGTATAATGTAAATGCATTACAATGATTTTACTATAGGAATGCATTGAAAAATCAAGAAGAAAGGATTGTCAGTGGTCAGGAATTAATGCAACAGTACTGATAGAATAGGGGTTATTATATGTATAATGTAAATTCATTACTAATGATTTTACTATAGAGAATGCATTGAAAATCAGAAGAAAGGGATTGTCAGTGGTCAGGAATGAATGCAAGCATTACTGATAGAATAGGGCTATTATATGTATAATGTAAATGCATTACTAATGATTTTACTATAGGAATGCATTGAAAATCAGGAAGAAAAGTGATTGTCAGTGGTCGGAATGAATGCAAGCATTACTGATAGAATAGGGCTATTATATGTATAATGTAAATGCATTGTTAATGATTTTACTATAAGAATGCATTGAAAATCAGGAAGAAAGGGATTGTCAGTGGTCAGGAATGAATGCAAGCATTACTGATAGAATAGGGCTATTATATGTATAATGGAAATGCATTGCTAATGATTTTACTATAGGAATGCATTGAAAATCAGGAAGAAAGGGATTGTCAGTGGTCAGGAATGAATGCAAGCATTACTGATAGAATAGGGTTATTATATGTATAATGTAAATGCATTGCTAATGATTTTACTATAGGAATGCATTGAAAATCAGAAGAAAGGGATTGTCAGTGGTCAGGAATGAATGCAAGCATTATTGATAGAATAGGGCTATTATATGTATAATGTAAAATGCATTGTTAATGATTTTACTATAGGAATGCATTGAAAATCAGGAAGTGCGATTGTCAGTGGTCAGGAATGAATGCAAGCATTACTTTGAGAATAGGGTTATTATATGTATAATGTAAATTCATTACTAATGATTTTTACTATATAGAATGCATTGAAAATCAGGGAAGAAAGGGATTGTCAGTGGTCAGGAATGAATGCAAGCATTACTGATAGAATAGGGTTATTATATGTATAATGTAAATTGCATTACTAATGATTTTTACTATAGAACGCATTGAAAATCAGGAAGAAAGGGGATTGTCAGTGGTCGGAATGAATGCAAGCATTACTGATAGAATAGGGTTATTATATGTATAATGTAAATGCATTACTAATGATTTTACTATAGGAATGCATTGAAAATCAGGAAGAAAGGGATTGTCAGTTGTCAGGAATGAATGTAACTATTACTAATAGAATAGTGTTATTATATGTATAATGGAAATGCATTGCTAATGATTTTACTATAGGAATGCATTGGAAATCAGGAAGAAAGGGATTGTCAGTGGTCAGGAATGAATGCAAGCATTACTGATAGAATAGGGCTATTATATGTATAATGTAAATGCATTGTTAATGATTTTACTATAGAATGCATTGAAAATGCAAGGAAGAAAGGGATTATCAGTGGTCAGGAATTAATGCAAGCATTACTGATAGAATAGGGCTATTATATGTATAATGTAAATGCATTGCTAATGATTTTACTATAGGAATGCATTGAAATCAGGAAAGAAAGTGATTGTCCAGTGGTCAGGAAATGAATGCAAGCATTACTTTGATAGAATAGGGTATTATTATGTATAATGTAAATTCATTGCTAATGATTTACTATAGGAATGCATTGAAAATCAGAAGAAAGGGATTGTCAGTGGTCAGGAATTAATGCAAGCAGTACTGAGAGAATAGGGCTATTATATGTAGAATGTAAATTCATTACTAATGATTTTATAGGAATGCATTGAAAATCAGAAAGAAAGGGATTGTCAGTGGTCAGGAATTAATGCAAGCAGTACTGAGAGAAGAGGGCTATTATATATAGAATGTAAAATTCATTACTAATGATTCTATAGGAATGCATTGAAAATCAGAAAGAAAGGGATTGTCAGTGGTCAGGGAATTAATGCAAGCGATACTGAGAAAAGAGAGCTATTCTATGTAGAATGTAAATTCATTACAAATGATTTACTATGGGAATGCATTGAAAATCAAGAAGAAAGGGATTGTCAGTGGTCAGGAATTAATGCAAGCGATACTGAGAAAAGAGAGCTATTCTATGTAGAATGTAAATTCATTACAAAATGATTTACTATGGAATGCATTGAAAATCAAGAAGAAAGGGATTATCGGTGGTCAGGAATTAATGCAAGCGATACTGAGAAAAGAGAGCTATTCTATGTAGAATGTAAATTCATTACAAATGATTTACTATGGAATGCATTGAAAATCAGAAAGAAAGGGATTGTCAGTGGTCAGGAATTAATGCAAGCAGTACTGAGAGAAGAGGGCTATTATATATAGAATGTAAATTCATTACTAATGATTCACTATAGGAATGCATTGAAAATCAGAAAGAAAGGGATTGTCAGTGGTCAGGAATTAATGCAAGCGATACTGAGAAAAGAGAGCTATTCTATGTAGAATGTAAATTCATTACAAATGATTTACTATGGGAATGCATTGAAAATCAAGAAGAAAGGGATTGTCAGTGGTCAGGATTTACTGAGAAATCGGACTCTCTATCTCTCTAATACAGATCATATTATTTCACTGTAAAGTTCTATGTAATTTCTGCAATCCATTCTAGTAAAAAGTATCACTATTTATTAACTTAATTTGTCTCTAGCTTGAGGGACACCTTTAAAACTGTGAATTCAGTTGTTGTCCGATATCCGATTTGGCACGCACGTGCACATCATCGCATCTGTTGGCTCGCTCCGTGAAAAAAAAAAAAAAAGACGGCATCAAACAAAAACTAAAATACATATTAAAAGAAAAATCCACGAAAAATGCGATCGTCTGTAAAATCTCGAGCCAAAATCAATTTTATACAAGCCAAGCGAAAGAAGAGGATGATAGAACGACAAAAAAGGAAAGAAAAGGAAAAAAAGTCTTAAACTGAGCAAATTAATCGCTCAGAACTTAATTTGCAAGACCCCAGGATGTGAGTGAAGATGCGTGCAAGTAAAAGGGGGGTGGACAAAAAAACAAAAACAAAAAAAAAGGAATGTCACTTAAAGTTGGTTGGTTAAAGCTTGGCGTTAAAGCATCTGAAATGTAAGATATTTATACCTCATGGCGATTGATGTCATGCGCAGAGGCGAAGAATCGAAAACGAGGCAGCAGGCTTCAAGATTTGCATCTTGTCGTCCCCGGACAATCACGGATTCGTTGATTTTTGTTGTGCAATTTTAAAATGAACTGATTAAAACTTTTTAGTTTTATTTTTCGCCAACCATCTTCATAATCTTTATTTGTCTTTCTTTTTTTTCTTTTTTTTTTGAGGTGTTTCATTTTGTCAATTTTTTTAGTCAGCTGTATTCGTTGGCATTCTGGGATGACCATTTGTCATTCCACGTCCAAATATACGAGTGTGTATCCGCATTCGTATTTTTTTATCGCTTTGGTTCCGAAAGCAAAATTTTCAGTCTTAATTTTTTGTTTGAATAAAGGATTGTGAGTGCCTTAATGATACCCCAGTGTCCCGATCTTTTTTAGATCACAAGGGCTCGGTGGGTTAACTCTTCGGCCTTTTTAATTTATACGTTTATTCTCTTTAAGGTATCATACTTCCATCCTAACTCTTTTTTGCGTCAGTTCTCTGGTTTTGCATATTTTTCTTTCTTTATTTCTTTATTTCTTTTTTATTTCTTTTTTCTTTCTTTCTTTTTTCTTTCTTTCCTTTTTTCTTTCTTTTTTTGTCCGTGATTGCATTCTTCACCCTAATTATTCATTATTTTATCTGCCTTTCTTTCTTTATGTTGATTTTCTTTTTTTTTCAAATCGTTTCTCTTTCTTTCTTAACATTTTTCTTACTTTTTCTCCTAACACGTCTGTCTTTCCTTTTTCCATTCTTTCTTTCACGTTATTCTTTGTTAATATTTTTCTTACTTTTTCTTCTAACACGTTTTACTTTCTTTCTTTCTTTTTTCTTTCTTTCTTTCTTTCTTTCTTTCTTTCTTTCTTTCTTTCTCCACCTTTTCTTTCTTTCTTTCTTTCTTTCTTTCTTTCTTTCTTTTTCTTGTTTTTCTTTGTTAAAATTTTTCTTACTTTTTCTACAAACACCTTTTACTTCCATTCTTTCTTTCTTTTTTCTTTCTTTATTTTTTCTTTCTTTCTTAACATTTTTCTAACACGTTTTTCTTTTTTTCTTTCTTTCTTTCTTTCTTAACATTTTTCTTTTTCTTCAAACACTTTTTTCTTTCTTTCTTTCTTTCTTTCTTTCTTTCTTTCTTTCTTTTTTCTTTCTTTCTTCTCCCTAACTCTTCTTTCTTGTTTGCTTCCTTGTTTCTCCCCCTTTTTTTCTCATATTAACTTTTCAGCTTCGTTTGAATAATTTGAAATATTTTAACTGTTAAATAAGAAATAGTTTGTTGCATTTATTTATTAATATAATGTTTTCAATTTTCAAAACATGGTCAAGATATTGTGTCCGTGTTCATAGTTGATATTGTTTATTTTTTCGTTTTTATTAATAAGGCTTCCATTATTTTTAGCCTTTTTTTTGCATGTAGATTACGCTATTATATTTGTGTTGTCAACAAGTATGGTACGAATAGTGTCATGTAGGTCTCCATGAATATTTAAATGAGATCTAATTGAGCTATGGTCAAAAAGGTCTAGAGTGAGTCTTCATATCGAACATGTTGCAGTGTGGCCTATATAATTATTTACAAGTTTTGATTGATCTGAAATACAATTCCTTAAAGGGCATTTAATTTCGTAAATAATATTTGGCCTATTTAATTTTGGCCATGTTTTGAAAAATGAAAACATTATATAAATACATACATGCAACAAACTATTTCTTATTTAACAGTTAAAATATTTCATCCTTGAAAATGGCTAAATGTATAGCCGAAATTTTTCATATAATTTATCACCCGAAAAGAAAAAAAAATTATTAAATCACATTAGAAATTACATAAAAAACTAAATAAAATCACCTTGTCTGTCGTTTTCAATGAGACGTGCATGAAAGAAGGGTTGCTACCTAAATACACACACACACACACACACACACACACACACATACATATATATATATATATATATATATATATATATATATATAGATAGATAGATAGATAGATAGATAGACCTACCGGACACTATTCGTAACATACTTGTTGACAAGACTAATATAACAGCATCATCTACATGCAAAAAAAAAAAAAACGGCTAAAAATAATGGAAGCCTTATTAATAAAAATAAGAAAAAAACAACACTTAATAATATTAACTTTGAACATGGACATAATATCTTGACCATGTTTTGAAAAATGAAAACATTTTATAAAACATACATACATACATACAACAAACTATTTCTTATTTAACAGTTAAAATATTTAATCCTTGAAAATGGCTAAATGTATAGCCTTGTGTGCGTGTATGTGTGTGTGCGTGTGTGTGTGTGTGTAAATAGGGTGGAGATCATAACCCCAAATCTTAAAATCCTGAATGTCGAAATCCTGAAATTTAAAATCCCGAAACTTGAAATCTCGAATGCATAGAAATCTTAAAAGATCAAAATCCAAAAACGTTAAATCTTGAAAGTTCAGAATTCCCAAAAACAATCTTTGGGAGGAATTGGATATAACTTTATTTCTAAGCATTTACAAAATCCTACTTAAATAGTTGTTGTGGCCTTGTCAGGGCCAGAATTAAAGATACAAGAAAGGAATTGAATTAAACAAATATATTAGCAGAAAACAGCTATACAAACATATACAAACAAGAGTGTTACAGCAAGGATGTTCGATCCGGCTGTCGGAGCTGGCTGCTGGAAACTTCACACTCAAAAGGCAGTACCTGCTCCTATTTATAGCTGGGAGAGTCCATGTGTGCGTGGGTAAGAAACATTCAAAATTCATTATATATATATATATATATATATTATAAATTAATTGATTTAAAATATGGTTATTTTCGCTACACAGTTCCAACCATGTTTCAAAAATAGAAGCTAAAAACCCCTAATTTTATTTTTGCAAATAAATTAAAAGCATTAGTTCCATTTCATCTTCAAGCGAATTTTGGAGTAACTTTTAAAATGCTCTGTAAATTTACATTGAGCACTATTTTGTAAAAATAAAATATCTATAAGAACACCGGATTTTATATCTTACTGTTCTTTCTTTTTTATTTATACATATATATATATATATATATATATATATATATATATATATATACATCTTCCGTTTCATTTTGACACCCCACCTTTTTCCCTGACTTGACACCTTGAAAGTATCTCTATACTGCTACTTATTATAAACACCCTACACTCGCCTACCCAATTTAGACAATTCACCATAGCTGTTACCATGGGATTTTGATTTCAATTTTAAAACAAGTAAATTTCAGATATACGTTATTCCAACAAAATTTCGCTTGAGGATGGAACGGGAGCCCATTTTACTTTCAACTCAATTTAATTTAAAGGATTATATTGAAGTTTTCAGCTCTAGTTTTGAAACATGAGACCTCTTATGTAGCGATTTGGAATCATATTTTAAATAAATAATTATATTTATGCTCTACTTTTGTATCGAGCACTATTTTTTAAAATAATAACTAAAATACTAAGGGACTTTGGATTATTTACCTAACCAGTTCCTTCCTATTTTCTATATATTTTTCACATATATATATATATATATATATATATATATAACCGGAATATGGCATAGATGATGGGGAAATTTAGTAGGCAATGCTCATGTCAGTGTTTATCGCATTATTGGAGAGGTTCAAAAAGAGCAGCAGCACTTACAAAACGAATGTTAATGCAGTTTCTGAGGAGAGACTCGTCCAAAAAAGAATAAAAAAAAACTGTGTTTAATCGTGATGAAAGGGGTAAAAATATAGTCAACGATCGTGAAAACCGACCAGATCTTATGCACTATCTTAGGGCTCTTGCTCATAATCTTTCATTATAAATTATTCATATATTGCGGCTTTATATTTTGAATAGATTTTGAACGTTTTAAAGGTACAAACTGATGTAATGGAATACGCTGAGTGTCTAAACTATAGGTAGTAACTGCCTATATGTAACTGTAAGTCAAGAATCTGTTGTCGAACTCTCTGCCTTCGGGCAGAGAGGAACCCGAACGAGGCTATGCCAAACGATAGAGTCTCGTCCGGGGAGGTAGACAGACCCGAACCCATTTATGCGGTGTTTACGGGTAATTCGGATTGCCCCATGTTAAATTCGGCCTTGTGCCACATCCTACCCCGTGGAGAGGTTGATAAATATCGACTAGCTGGGATCAGTTACTCAGCTCTTAGCTGTTGTCGAACTCTCTGCCTTCGGACAGAGACGAACCCAGACGAGGCTATGTCGAAGGGCAGAGTCTCATCCGCGGAGGTAAACAGACCCGAATCTATTTATGCGAGGTTCATGGGGAATTTTTGGCCGAAGCTACGGGCTCGGATTTTCCCACATTAAATTCGGCCTCGTGTCACATCCTACCCCGTGGAGACATTGGTAAATATTGACTAGCTGGGATCTGTTGAGTACGACTTACGCGAGAACTACCGACCTTCCAATAGTAGCACTCACTACTGGATTGACTTGCGATGACCTTGTGCATAATTGTTACCTTTATTCTTATTGTATTGTTTTTTTACAATAAAACTTTACTTATTTTATCTACATTGTTTTTCACGTATATATTCCTATTAGCATGGAATATAGAACAAACACAAAATAAACGGTATTTTGCAAATGTTTAGAAATAAAGCTATTTCCATTTTTTTAAATTTCTCCTTAAGGCTATTATTTGGGATTCTGATCTTTCAGGATATTAAATTTCAGATCATTCGGGATTTCAAAATTTCGGGATTTTAAACTTCAGGAATTCGACATTCTGGATTTGAAGATTATATATATATATATATATATATATATATATATATATATATATATATATATATATATATATATCGGTTTGGCTATTGTATTGACTGAATAACTGTCCAGTCTCGTTACTGTATGAAGTAATGCCACTAGGCAGCCGATACGTGACCAATGTGACGTATCTCTAGCAAAGGGCGATAATCGCGTTCTGTATTCCTGCATAGGTAAGGAAAGGGGATGGACATTTTATTTATAAATCAGACAGATTTTTATTACTTTTAGGTTATTTTTAGTGGATACACGTACTTGAGTAGACGTTACGTTATCTGTGGTCTTGTCGCTTAAGAACGGCGTAATTGTTGGTTTTGTCAGCGCGTCTGATTATGATATTGGGTTTGTTGCGTAACTTTTTTGAAGCTGATCTGAATTCCTCTGCGAAGATATTATTGTCTTTGAGTGTGGAGAAAGGGTTTTTTTTTTTTAGACCTTCCGCTTTTAGAAGATCTCTCAGATTTTAATGCACCTTAATTAGTTTTTCCGCATTCAGCTGTTGGATTAATTGGGAGACTATTTCGAGTAGGGCCTTCTTTTGGATGGGGTCACAATCTAGGTTGGAGGTGTCAGCTTGGGTAATACTTTAAGTTAATCTTTTTTTCTTACTTTCTGTTCAAACTTAATAATTCTTTCTTATTACCTTTTTATATTATTTTCCTATTTTAGATTTATTACTGCTCCCTGTTCTTTCTTTCTTGCTTGCTTTTTTATCTCTTTCTTTCTCCTTTCTTTCTTTCTTTCTTTCTTTCTTTCTTTCTTTCTTTCTTTCTGTGTTTCTTTCTCCTTTCTTTCTTTCTTCTTTCTTTCATATCACTCTTAATTTTTCTTTCTTATTCCATTTTTTATTATTTTCTTCTTTTAAATTTATCCCTGTCCTATGTCCTTTCTTTCTTTCTTTCTTTCTTTCTTTCTTTCTTTCTTTCTTTCTTTCTTTCGTTTTATTTTGTTTCTTGCTTTCAACCTGTCTGTTCCTTTTCTTTCTTTCTTTCTTTCTTTCTTTCTTTCTTTCTTTCTTTCTTTCTTTCTCTTTCGTTTTATTTGTTTCTTGCTTTCAACCCTGTCTGTTTCCTTTTCTTTCTTTCTTTCTTTCTTTCTTTCTTTCTTTCGTTTTATTTTGTTTCTTGCTTTCAACCTGTCTGTTCCTTTTTCTTTCTTTCTTTCTTTCTTTCTAGTTTTTCTTTCTTTCTTTCTTTCTTTCTTTCTTTCATTTTATTTTGTTTCTTGCTTTCAACCTGTCTGTTCCTTTTCTTTCTTTCTTTCTTTCTTTCTTTCTTTCTTTCGTTTTATTTTGTTTCTTGCTTTCAACCTGTCTGTTCCTTTTCTTTCTTTCTTTCTTTCTTTCTTTCTTTCTTTCTTTCTTTCTTTCTTTCGTTTTATTTTGTTTCTTGCTTTCAACCTGTCTGTTCCTTTTCTTTCTTTCTTTCTTTCTTTCTTTCTTTCTTTCTTTCTTTCTTTCTTTCTGTTTTATTTTGTTTCTTGCTTTCAACCTGTCTGTTCCTTTTCTTTCTTTCTTTCTTTCTTTCTTTCTTCAAACTCCTTTTCATCGAGCTACTATCTTTGTTTATTGTTTCTTTCCATTTTCTTTTTAATTTCGTTTTCTCTTTATTCTCTTCCACCCTCCTTATTTGACATATTTTTATTTACATTCTTTCTTTCTTTCGTTTCGTTTCGTTCTTTCTTTCTTTCTTTCGTTTCTTTCTTTCTTTTCAACCTTAAATCTTCTTTCTTTTTCTCTTTTTTATTATTTTCCTCTTTTAGATTTATTCCCGCATTCTGATCTTTCTTTCTTGCTTGCTTTTTTATCTCTTTTTTCTTTCTTTCTTTTCAACCTTAATTCTTCTTTATTATTCCCTTTTTTATTATTTTCCTCTTTTAAATTTATTCCTGATCCCTGTTCTTTCTTTCTTTTTTCTTTCTTTCTTTCTTTCTTTCTTCAAACTCCTTTTCATCGAGCTACTATCTTTGTTTATTGTTTCTTTCCATTTTCTTTTTAATTTCGTTTTCTCTTTATTCTCTTCCACCCTCCTTATTTGACATATTTTTATTTACATTCTTTCTTTCTTTCGTTTCGTTTCGTTCTTTCTTTCTTTCTTTCTTTCTTTTATAGCTTCTTTAGCGATATCCGCCATTCTTTCTTTCTTTCTTTCTTTCTTTCTTTCTTTCTTTCTTTCACCTTTTATTTTGATTTTTTTTATCGCCAAATCGGCTTTTTCGCTTTCTTTTCGGGCTTTCTTTCTTATTTGCTTTTGTGTTCAAACCCTCTCTTTCCTATTCCCAAAGTTCATCGATCTTTTTACTCTTTGACAAGACCCTTCTCTGCCTTTCCTCCCTTGGTCGCAAACTGTAAGCAACGGATGCAACGTGTTCTCTACCCTCACCCACGGTTGTTCACCTCGGAGTAAAACACATAAAATGTCACATCCATTCCACAGCCAATCAAAACTAAAAGGAAACAAACGAAGCTCCAATCACAGGCCGAATAAATGCTTTAATCACTGACACAGGCAGAAATGACATGGCAAATTCACCATCGTCATACATACGTTTGGGTAAGCAGTTCTGAGATGTAAATACAAGAAAAAGTTTGGGGGTCTGCCACGGTTAAAACGAATCTGGGGAATACAAAGGTGGGGGTGGTTGAAGACATAAGAAACTGATAAATCCAGAAGTGGGTCTTGTCGCTCAAGGGAAAGGTGAATAAAACAGCATACTTAGGTCAGGTTTGTTTTAATGTTTTTAACAAGACACCGATCGCAAAAAAAACATTTGGGATGGCTCATAAAAATGGCTACAGTGTTGATTCTATCTATCTATCTATCTATCTATCTATCTATCTATCTATCTATTGTAGTTTATTCTCTCTCTTTTCTGTATATATATATATATATATATATATATATATATATATATATAGATAATATTATTGGTAAATATACATACGTATGCGAAATATATAAATCCCCACACATGTATATTTTAGAATAAAAATTCCAAGAGGAAGAATCCAGGTAGAACTCAATGTCCAGGACAGAAGATGAATAGGCATAATAAAAAGGCTTAAACACTAATGGAATATTAGTGTTTAAGTTTTATATATATATATATATATATATATATATATATATATATATATGTGTGTGTGTGTGTGTGTGTGTGTGTGTGTGTGTGTGTGTGTCTGCGTTTGTGGTCAGCCACGTCTGATTTTCTACTTTCCCTCGTGTTACAGCTTTCTGGTGTTCTTGAAGCCTTACCTTGAGGGAACAAACAGAAATCTATAACACGAGGGGAAGTAAAAAAATCAGGCGTGGCTGACCACATATGGAGAGAAAATGGAGATCACTGCCCTCTATGGGATCAGGTTGAGCTCATAGACAAAGAAAGACACACAATTGGAAACTTCGTAAACTTAAGGAATCAGCACATATGCTAGGCCACAAAAATCTCCTGAGCCGACCAAGCATAGAAATGAATACAATATGGTAACCAGTAATAAGGAGTGCCAGAGAAAAGCAATGATAACAACAAAGTTGTAATATGAGCTCTGGTAAAAACATTATGATAACAGCAAAAATAGCAATATGAGCACTGGTAAAAAAAATGGTTGCTGAAAACATTAGGTTTATAATACCCAGAAATTCATACCCAGATGTCCTCAAGGACACATGGCACAGTGGATAAATAGATCCAGTGACAGGACCCAAAGAGTGTGAGTTCAATACCCGGTTAAGGCAGTGGAGAACTTGGAGAGGGGAATTAACAGGAGATAACTGATAACTGACATCCATCAAACATGGTATGTGGAACTAGAACAGTCTACCCCAGTGAGCGAAATAAAGGGTTCAGTTCGACATTCCAACCACCTGAAGAAGGCCGGAGCGTACAACGGCTGAAACGTTGTGATAAATATGGCGACAAAGATGAGGACAATATTCCGAATAATGTAAATAGTGTACATAATACCTCATCTCAGAAATATAGACAGACTCTTAACATTTTATTGAGAAATTGACATTTTTATAAAATGAGGCGTTTTACACTTGATCAAAATTACAAGACCAGAGACAAAAATTCTACGAAATTGTACGAAAAGTGAAGGAAAACATTCAACAACCAAATTTAATAATGAGTTCTACTTCCACTAGTTTTGATGACTTCAAGAATTCTTTGGGGCATGCTAGAAATTAGTGTTTCCATTAAGCTGCGAGGAATATTGCTTCAGCTAATGAAGATAGCTTTATGAAGTTCATTTTTTGTTGAATATTGTTTGCCATTTCGATAAACATCTCTTGCCATCCATCCCCAAACATTTTCAATTGGATTCAAGTCCGATGAGTATGCAGGATGTCCTAAGAGATGGACCCCATTTTCTTGTAGAAAGGTCAAGGTCCGGCCTGCAGCGTGGATTGCAGCATTGTCCTGTTGGAATAAGCATCCATCGCCACACAAACGATGACCCTCCGTCACCAACGATGCTTTTTGTGACATGCTAACATAACCAGCCGCTGTCTGACGACCCTGCACCCACCTGAAGCTTCATCGTCCCTCTGTAAGAAAAGGCACCCCATACCATTAGGGATCCTCCACCACTATGACGTGTGGAGAAAATTTCAGGAGGCATGTTTTTGTTAAGCCAATATCGTTGGAAGCCTTCAGTGCCATCTAGATTTAATTTTTTCTTATCAGAAAACTTTCTTCCACTTCTCAATGTCCCATGTTTGGTATACACGACCAAAGCATAAACGGTTCACTTTGTGATGTGGAAGCAACCGAGGAATTTGTTTGCGCTTTTTGTTTACCATGCCTTTTTGTCGTAAGTGTCGTCTGATGGTCACTGGACTGCAATCAGCATCTGTGGCTGCCTTAATTTGACTAGAAGAAGGTCAACTGGCTTTCACAACAACCTGTCTTATTCTCCTACTCAATGCCGGAGAAATTTTTTTTTTTGGGGGGGGGCTAACAGTAGACTTTGCTTTTCCATAATTCGCACTGTTCTTTAGAAAGTTGCAAATCACAGTTTTACTGCGATCTACTTTAGCTGCGATCGCCCGCTGTAACAAACCTTGATTATGGAAATCTAGAATTCGAGCACGCTCATCTTCGGTAAGTTTGCTTGCTTTAGGTATGGTGTCACCTTTACGGAGTGATTACTAATCTCTAACTGAACTAAAAACATTGCAATTACCCTAGATCTAACAATTTATAACCCCCTGGTCTTATAATTTTGATCAAGTGTAAAACGCCTCATTCTATGAAAATGTCTATTTCTGAATAAATTGATCGGGTTATAACTTTTTGTCTACATAACCTTTTAGATTATAGAATTAGTAAATTTAAGTAAGAAAAAGTTTATAATGTATCCATAACAAACAGTCTCTTATAAAAATGTTTCAAGTAGTCTTAAATTTTTGATCAGTGTATATATATATATATATATATATATATATATATATATATATATATATATATATATATATATATCAGTCTATTCATATCTATCTATCTATCTATCTATCTATCTATCTATCTATCTCATTCTATTCATATCTATCTATGTATCACAGACTGTTCATAGCTATCTATCTATCTCATTCTGTTCATATCTATTTATCACAGTCTGTTCATATCTATCTATCTATCTATCTATCTATCTATCTATCTATCTATCTATCTCAGTCTCTTCATAACTACTTATCTATCTTTGTCCCTAAAACTTAATTTCTGCAATATTAAACTAAAAGTTAGTAATATTTGTTTCAAATCAGATTAATTAATGAAAACAGCTAATATTACTCAAAGAATGTTTCAGAAACGTATATTTTATTTTTAAAAGATTTTTTTTCACTAAAGGAAATTATATTGGACTGACAGATGACTAAAAAGGGCTAAAACTCCTACCAATCAATTTAAATTGTTTTTTGCAGCAAAATGATTTGGAAATTGATTGTAAATATGAAATTTAATCTATTAATTTGGAATTATATCTAAAATAAAATGTTCAAAAAAGATTTTTCAACTTTAAAAAATTCTTTTTAAACCTTTACGTGTAGCTTTTCTTTGGAACTATATATATATATATATATATATATATATATATATATATATATATATTTGAACTTAGTATAAAATAACGAAAATGAGAAAATCTGTAATCAGTTGTCGTTACCTCCGGAAAAAAGTGGACAGACCGATTACAAAATTTTTTGTCTACAAAACTCTAGCATCGTGTTAACTGACAAATTTAATTTGTATCGATCATATATATATATATATATATATATATATATATATATATATATATATATATAAATATATATATTTTCTGTCAAAGTGGCATGAACAATATATATATATATATATATATATATATATATATATATATATATATATATATATATTATTGTCAGTCATTTTTAACGAAACTTCTTTAAAGAGGGATTGCTGCTCAAATACTATATATATATATATATATATATATATATATATATATATATATATATATAATATAAAATATTTTTGTAGGTACAAAATTTAATGATCGAAATAAAAGTATAAAACTTAATATTATGAGACATATTAAAAACGGACAAAAGCAAGCGGTTTTCGCTCCGCTCTTCAGAGCTTCAACGGGAGATTTAGTTTAAAATTAACACAGAAAAATGTACAATAAAAGGAAATTGTGGGAGGAAAAATAAAATAAAATAAAATGGCAAAAGGAACTAGAGACAAATGACAGCGAGTCCCAACAAACACTTACGTTGATTACACAAAGAAGGCTTACGGGACCCGATGTAAAGTGCCTCCAGAACCTTTAGATGAAATAAAGAGTGTGACCGGGACAACACGGTGAACCAGTCAGCACTAATATTTAGTCACCCCACCCACGAGGGCCTGTGGGCTCGGCCAAAAATATGCCCTTTGAACCTGTATAAACGGGTTCAGGGTCGGTTTACCTCTCCGAAAAAGACTCCACCCTTCGGCGTATACTCGTTCGGGTTCCTCCCCGCCCGAAGGCAGAGAGTTGAACCGATCAGCCGGTCAGCCGGTCGTCCGACTTCAGACTAAACCAGCCAGCACTAAATTTGGCTGCACAATCTCTCTTCTTTAATAGGTGTTCGCATATGGCGGAACGATAGGTGTTCGGGACGAGTCCATTCAAAGGCAGGGTGTGATTTCTAATTTTTGTAGGAACGTGTTTTTTTATTCTCATGTCTAAGCGTTGAGTTGTTCTCCCTATGTAGTCGGCTCCGCGACTACAAACGTATTTATAAATAATTGAATTAATTTGATGGGGAGGGAGAACGTCTTTACACGCAGATCAAAGCATAGGCCGAGTTTGAAAAATAATCCGCACTTCAGCAGAGAAAAAGCAACAGCGAACCGTTGATGAAATTTGTCTGGCTATTTTTTCACATTTGGTACTAATCCAGGGTAATCTAAGGTAAACAGGGCATTTTTTAACAGTGTAGAGCTCGGCACTTCTGAACTTTTCAACTTTACTGCGGATAACTGAATTAACAGTATTAAGAGGATAATCCAAACTACATAGGGTATCCTTAATAAAGTCGATTTCGTCGTTCAAGAAGGGCTCAGAGCAGATCTTTAATGCTCTACGTAGGAGGGTTTTAATAATGTTAATCTTGCGCTTAGTGGGACAAAAAGAGTATTGATCAATCAATACTTACATACAATGACGCTAACCATGGAATATTAGTGTTTAAGCCTTTTTATTATATCCTTACTCTGTCCTAGACATTGAGTTCTACCTGGATCCTTCCTCTTGAAAATTTTTTTTTTTTTTTCTGAAAATATACATGTATGGAATTTTTTATATATATTTTGCATATGTATGTATATTTTCCACTAATATATATATATATATATATATATATATATATATATATTATTTTTTTTCTGTTGAGGAAAAAACTGACCGAAATTTCTGTATATCCAAGCGATTTTGGCAATTCTTTTAGTCATTATCAAGGATGATTTTTATTATTTTTTATTTTTATTTTTAACTGAATGTGTGTGTTTCTATGTATATGTCTTAAGTTATACGAATGTTTTATTTTCCGTATTCGGTCAAAATGTTGTGGCCGTGTTCGTAATAAATGTTGTTGAGTGTTGGCTTTTTTCTTTTTTTATTATTAATGTTTGCATCTTTTATTTTACATGTGGATGAGGATGTTAATATATATATATATATATATATATATATATATATATATATATATATATATATATATATAAATGAATCTGTAATTGAGTTGTGGTGTGGTGGTGGTGGTGTGTGTGTGTGTGTGTGTGTATGTCTCGATGGTTTTGTGTAGCAATATTTGTATATAATCCCATCTCTTACAATCATTTGCCGTCTGTCAAAATTTAATAATACTAAGAAAATCTATATTTACATATATATCTGTTTACGAGAATACATTTGAACAGTTACATACGAACTATGACACACACACAAAGGGGATCTATCTATCTATCTATGTGTGTGTGTGTATGTATATATATATATATATATATATATATATATATATATATAATTGGTTCTAACTAGAGAAAATGTTGAAATCCTGTAAATCGACGTTAACGACGGCCATGATACCTGACTTCAAGAGATGTTGTTGAATGAATCAAAATATAATTAATCATTAACAGATCGATATGTATTCAAAATAGACAAAAATAATGACATACTTAAAGAAACCTCTCTGTATTTGTCCGTCTGTCAGTTTGTCTGTCTATCTTTTCATTATCTATCTATCGCAGTGTGTTCAGATCTGTCACAGTTTTCCATATCTATCTATCACTGTTTGCCATATCTATCTATCTATCTATCTATCTATCTATCTATATAATAGCTGGCCGTATTCGAGAATTTGGGTTTTGTGCTAGCACAGCTATCGACGGCCCTCAAAGGTTCCGTATACCCAATTTCACTCACAAGGCTTGGGTCACCCTCTCCTATGGTTTTCAGGCACTTGCAAATGGCGCCGCACACTGTGACCGTCCCCACTCCTGACCGATAAAATCAGGAAGTCTCTTTCCTGACAAATCGAATCCAGGTCTTATCGTCAGAAATTTACACACACACACACACACACACACACACACACACACACACACACATATATATATATATATATATATATGAAGAAAAAAAGTTTTAAGGTGTTCTATATTTATGAGATAAAGTGCTCAATATCAAAAAGATGCGTATTAAAATAAATATAAATGGGAACAGGGTCTGTTAAACTCTCCGAAGCGAAGGCTGCATGCTAGACGCAGTCGTCAGGTTCCTGATAATTGCGTCTAGCATGAACAGCCTGTCAGGACTTGAACTGTTTACTTCAATGTTCACTTTTATATTTATATATATATAAGTATGGTGTAGTGTGTGTGTGTGTGTCTGTGTGTATATATCTGTTGCAGTTTATTTGTATATGTTTATCACAGTTTGTCCATATCTATCTATCTATCTATCTATCTATATATATATATATATATATATATATATATATATATATATATATATATATGTATGTATAATTATCTATCTCTGTCTATTCCTATCCTTGTATGTCTGTCTATACTTCTTTTTCAATCACTGTATTCATCCATATCTACCTTATCACTGTCGCCTTAACTATTGCAAGTCAATATTTTCGCAATATAAACCGGTCTGGGCTAAATATCCAGACATATCTTTGTCGATATATTAAATCGGCTACGTGAATATCAACTAATAATATTAGAAAGATCGACAATAAGTAATTTGCTGATGCGCGATATTTATTATTCAACTTTCCTGTTTATTCATCATACTGTAAAAACTTCCATGGCCGAAGAATCATTGATATTTGTGCTTTGATTTCGATCACAGGAAATAAATAGCATACAAAGTGAAAGAAACTCCATCTTGAAGATTAATTTTTATTAATATCACAGCATTTGCTGGGAACGAAAATATTTTGATACCTAAACTTGTAGAATTTCATTGATGCTACTCAGCCCGTTACGAAGTGTGGTAGTTCGTGGTAAGAGTTTAGAGATAGTGTCCCAGGGTTCATACTTCGGCAGAATGCCAAAACCATCGGAATTTATCTTTCCAAGCTGCTGAGAACGGGATCTGTGGTAGATGCCCA